GGGGGGGGTGAACAACTCATTTCAAAGTCTGCAAACTCTCGGACTTAAAGCACTTACTTACCATTAACGATGTCAACAATTTACATACAACAGAGCTAGATGCCTTCCAACATTTACCTAGTCTCCAGTCGCTAAGAATTACTTCAACAGAACAAGGTATAGAAGTCACATTACGAAGCTTGTACCCGTTTCGAAATCGTTCAATGAAAACCCTGTACTTTCAAGACATTAGCTAATCTCAATTCATCGGCGGGGCTTCTAAGTGTTCGGATAGTGTGATAGACGCTTTCAAGGCGGAATTTTTGTCCCAGATCTGTGTGGAAAATTTCTACTTAATGAACAGTGAGGTCATTGTTGTGGAGGGTAACACACTGACTGGACCTCTCTGGAGAAAATGTCTCCAGAATTTGGATATTTCAAATAACCCGCTTATCGGAGATCGGATTACCCTTTGGCAATTCCAGAGATTTAAAGCTATCAAAGTTTTCAATGCAGCGAATCGAAAAGACACGTCATTCACGTTACAAACGAGGAGCAACAATCTTGTTACTGGAGCTAGATCATGCAGACAGAAACGTGTGGAGAAAGTTGCACTCATGACTACCGATGTTTCAGAGTCAGGTCCCATCAGATCTTTTCCAACTGATATAGCTGAAAGCAGAAATCTTGAGGTATTCTCAAGCAGGAAACTGGAGGTATCCTCACACAGCAAAAGTTACGAGTATTGGCACGTGGACAATTCTCAACAATGCGAAACACCCCCAGGCGAAAAGATCTCAACGATTTACGTGCGTTTTCAAAGGACTCTGGAGATAGTTCACTTGGAGAGTTTTAGCCGCAGCATGGGACCCGTTACTAAAGACGTAACAGTGACAGGCGGAGAAAATCTACAAGAATTCTACATTTTTGGGAACAATTTGCGTCATTTCTTTGAGACAACCAAAGGCTTCAGTAGTCTCGAGATCTTAGACACTTTCTACATCGACTGCTCCGACATTTCCCCCAGTGTTTTTCCAGTCCCTGGCAAGCGTGAAAACCCTCAAGATGAGAGGGGCTCTGTTACACCGCATGTTTATGTCCACACACCGCGAGCAGTTGTTCCGATCTCTGACACAACTCAAGTTCTGGACTTGTCCAACAATCAGCTAAACCTTCTGGCCAGAGGCACTTTTCAGAATAACTATCAGCTCCAGATCCTAAACTTAGCAAACAATCGGTTCACAAAAATTCCCGTAGACGACCCTCCTCCCCAATCTGACCTACTTAGACCTTAGCGGGAACTCCTTTTCCCAACTGGGCGTGAAGAACATGCAGTTAGTCGCACTACACGCTGGCACAGTCACGGAGTTCTCCCTTCACCTAACGGGAAATATTATGGTATGTACCTGCTCCAATATCCAGTTCCTCACCTGGCTCCAGAACACAAAGGTCAACTTGGACAGACCCATGACTTACAGCTGTCTCATGGAGAACGGGACGCTGACCACCACTGCTGACTTCTCTGACGTCAGAGCTCTGTTGCGGAAGTGCCAGGGGCAAACCGCCCTCCTGATCTCTGTTATACTCCTGTGTCTCATGTCTCTTGGATTTGTGGTAACCATTTTGTGTTGGAATATGAGAACACGACTCAAGTCTTTCATCTACAGGGTTTTCCTTCAAGGTTTCGTCCTGCACGGCCCACGTGATTACCGACTCGGCGTTTTTATCGGCTACGCTGACCCCGACACCAGACTGGCCTGCTTCACTCTCAGAGATTTCATCCAATCTCGACTTGGTCTGTCCACCTATGTCAGGGACATTAACCTACTTCTGGCCTCCGATATGGCCGAATCCATCGTGGACGCCGGGAATTCCAGTTGGAGAATTGTCTTACTTGTGACGTCAGATTATCTGGACAGAGACTTGAGGTCGTATTTCACTGTGCAAACAGCTGCCTACAGAGTCAGTCCGTCTAATCCGGATATGATCGTTGTTCTGGGCCATAAATTACAAAAACTTTCCACATGGCCTTTCGGTCTAAAATGTTACAAGTATTTTTATATATACTTGTGTGGCGTCGGTAGCCTAGTGGTTAGGCTACCAGACTCGTAAACGGGGGTTCGAGCCTCAGCTCGGTCCGACATTGTGTCCCTGGGAAAGGCACTTTACACGAACTTCCTACTTAGCTCGGTCCTATCGGAGACGGACGTTAAACTAGGAGGTCCCGCCCCTTAAATAACCTAATTGTGTTGATAGGGGCGTTAAACCCATACCATTTCACCATTTGTTATATATACTTGTAATGTCTTTGGGTACACCATTGTTAAAAAAAACAAAAGAAATCCCCACAGGGATCGCTTAAGTAGAATTAATTATTTATCAGTTTTATTTTTATTTAACACACGCTATTCCAAAGGTGTACTGACAGAAACACTGTCGTCAATTAGTCGCGACTGTAGTGGAGGTCGAAAGCAATGCATGATCTTTCTCACCTAAGGTCTAGGTTGTCGTGCTAAAGACATGCGGGCAGCTTGTTAAATCTATTACGTTCAACCATTGGCCTCCAAGACGTAACTCTCTCTCTATATCTATCAATCTAGCTATTTATCTATCTATCTCTGTGTATATTTATATCTATCTATCTCTGTGTATATTTATT